TCTTTCTTCATTTCTCCTCAGACCTTTTTAAATAACTTTTTATGGATCACATTTTCCTCACTTCCTATTGCTAACAATTGACCAAAAACGCAAAATAAATCTAACAAACTGAGAGGACGTCAATTTTCCATACGCAAAATGTGTTATGTGTCAACAATAGTGGAACAAATTTCTCTCCACTTATTCAATCAATTATTAGATATTTTAGGAGAAAATTACTCCAAAACTGCCATAATATTGTTCAGAGCTGATTGAAATGTGAATAACAAATGTTTTCTTTTCCCAGGTTTGCGTCCTCAGAAGGCCGATTAAGTCATAGACTCCAGATGCGCTCAAAGGGAAAAAGGTACTTTAATATACGGTAATACAAATATGTGAATAGTTCCGTCCGTTTGATTTAGCTAAAAGTTTTTATCTGTTTGGCTGTAATTGAAGGACAGATTCTAATATATCTACAGAATGGGGACTATAAATCTGATATGATTTTTTTGTTTTTCTTGTTTATTTTTGTTGTTGAATATCAGAGATTTGATCCAGTCGAGGTAGACCGCATCCTTGGAGGACGCTGCCCATGAATTTGAACACAGTGTGAGTTTGGTGATCCATCTTCCTGAACTTAAATCCTTTGTTTCTTGTCTTGTCCTTAATATAACTTTACTTTAATATATATTTTTGAAAAAGAAATAACATATCTTTTTTTTTTTTTTTCCAGGGGAGCTGCAACATGTGTGGTTAAGTGGTTTGCTAATAATCCAATTTTGGACCTGGTCAATCAGTGAAATTACTCAATAACTGCTACAGTAAAGGGGAGCCAGGATGCCAGGGAAGTGGGGATATGTGACTTTCCACCCTGACTGTACTTTTTGTTAACCTTGATTGTTTTCGTGAGTCTAAAATATTATTTTATGTTTCATTTTATGTAACAGGTAAATAAAAAGGATAAATAAAACAAAAAAGAAACTGAGTTTTTCTGCTTTTCCTTCTCTCTAAAAATATACCCATTTTATCTCTATTAAGTTGAAATTGGAGGTTCCCAAAAGATAATACTGTTCTGTTTTCTTAGTCGCAATGAAACTTCTAAAAATGGTAAACTTTGACAAAGTATAACACTTGTTTCTTTTCAAAACATCAATAAATGTCATTTATAAACATGTAAAGTACATGTTACGTTGTAACATGTTACAAGTTACATGTAACGCATTACATTGTTACTTGTAACACAAGTAACTTGTAACTTTTTACATGTAACAAGTTACATGTGTTACAAGTAACAATTGTAAGTTACATGTGTTAAGTAACACTTGTAACACGTTACATGTGTCACTTGTAACTTGTTGTAACAAGTTAATGTAAGTTACATGTGTAACATGTAACACAAGTAACGTGTTACAAGTGTTACACGTAACACGTTACTTGTGTTACATGTGTTACATGTAACTTACATTAACTTGTTACAACAAGTTACAAGTGACACATGTAACGTGTTACAAGTGTTACACGTAAAAAAATGACTAAATAACATTTATC